TATTGCGACGTATATTTAACGTGGCTATTCATTCCACCCTGGAAGGTTTCCCTGTTCCAACTCTCAATATACTGAAGGATGGTAATCCCCTGCCAGAGAAGATCAACCTCCGTGCAGTTCTTCGCGACGGTGCAGTTCACATTGAACTTGACGATGCCGACAGAGTGGATGCCGGTAACTACTCTCTTCGACTTTCGAATGAGGTTGGCGACGTCTCCATCCCCCTTACCCTCGAGGTGCACTGTAAGTTCTTGTCGTCGAGACTATCTTTCATAAAAAAACGCCCTTCAATTTCATGTAAAACCATAAAGGAATAAATTCTATCACGCAGGAGATATCTTTTCTTAGTACCCTGTCAGGAGAAAACCACAGTTTGGAACTCAATTCTCGTTAGCTCAAGGAATATACGAACATTATTTGTGATTTAAGTTGGATAGTTTTTTAGTCTGAACAAAGGAATCACGTTGTACACAAACCAGATCTTACGGAAGATACGAACAGAGAGCGTAAAAAACAGAGGTCTTTACTCGTGGAATCCTTCAGAGTTACAGAGAATGGCTAAGATAACATGAAATTTGGTTTGGAGGAAATGCCACCAATATATGGCGGAGGATGGAAATGTATATCATAATTTCGAATCCGATAAAATGCAAGTTGCAGGACAATTCTTTATCCATCGGTATAAACGGCCCAAATAATCTGGTTTTTTGTGTCAGACTTTTCAATGACGGAAATATGTCTTATGCAATTTTCTTCAGCGCGACCTGGACCTCCCAAAGGGCCCCTGGACGTCTGTGATCTCACGGCGACAAAGTGTTCTCTTGCCTGGGATCCACCAGAGGATGACGGTGGGCTGCCCATTAAATGCTACGAGGTTGAGGTCATGGACGTGACCGATGGAAACTGGAAACCGCTGAAAAGTGTCAAAGAAACGAAGTGTGACGTTCCCAATTTGATTGAAGGTCACAAATACAAATTCCGCGTTCGTGCTGTGAATGCGGAGGGTCCCTCAGACTACCTGGAGACCGAGAAGGACACAGTAGCTCGCGATATCTGCGACCCACCAGATGCGCCAACTAACCTTGAGGTGGGTACAAGCCAGTTTCTGCTCAAAAAAGCCCAAGCTTTCCATCTCTTAGCATAGCACTCTGCGTTTACGACATTTGAGGCTAGAAAGGCCACTCTGTCTGGTTAAGCCATTACTTAGGTTAAGTCGGCAACAGTAGCTTATGTAGCCCCACTCATTAATCCCTACAACCTGCAT